ACCCCTAGAGGACGCAGTTCGAAGTTCCCATGAAAGGGAACAAAGTTTGTAGAAAAACATGACATTGTATTTTAACACAGTGGAAAATAACACAGTTTCCTTAATTATTTTGATGGGTGAAATTCATCTATGTAATATTCATGTATTGTATGTGCATTAAGTTCTCAAGATCATCAGTGAGTCAAATGTATGTTTATCTGATGAGTGAATGTGTAAATCAGTGATGTTTGTCTGCTGTTTGTTTGCTTGTGTTACATTTCACAACATTTTCACATCCCTTTCCTGTTGTGTGTTTTTGTTTGGCTCATGATTAACTGTTAATTTCTTCTTCAGGTTTTTTCAGTGTTGTTGATACAGATAAAGTGTCAGTGATGGAGGGAGATTCAGTCACTCTACACACTGATGTTGAAACAAACCAACAAGGCAGAATGAGGTGGTATTTTAATGGTATTTACTTAGCTGAAATAAGTAAAGATATCAGTGAGATCTGTACAGATGTTCAGTGTAATAAAGGTACTGAGAGATTCAGAGACAGACTGAAGCTGGATCATCAGACTGGATCTCTGACCATCACAAACATCACAGCCACAGCGTCTGGACTTTATCAACTACAGATCATCAGCATCAGAATCAGTCAAAAGATATTCATTGTTGATGTAGATGGTGAGTCATTATGATTAAAAACAAGTCTTGACCATTTAAATCACTTTTTATTTCAGCAAAAATATCCTCCAGCTGCTGTTGGTTTGTGTTTCAGGTGTTTCTGCTGCTGAACGAGATAAAATGAAGAGAAAGTCAGTGAAGGAGGGAGAATCTGTCACTTTTTATCCTGCTGTAATAAAAAACCCAAATGATTTAATGAAATGGTATTTTAATGACACTCACATCGCTGAAATCAATGGAAATCTGAGTAAGATCTGTACAGATGTTCAGTGTAAAGAGAGATTCAGAGACAGACTGAAGCTGGACAGTCAGACTGGATCTCTGACCATCACCAACACCAGAACCACAGACTCTGGACTTTATAAACTGGAGATTACCAGCTGCAGCAGCAACATCAGTATCAGTGTCAATAAGAGCTTCAGTGCTACTGTCACTGGTGAGTATCAAGTATTAATTTATTGCATTGCATTGCATTGGTTTAGAATACAGTATGAAATTTTGAAACCAACCTAATAAAAAAAAAAATATTACATTTTGAAAATAGAAATATTAAATTATGGAAAAGATTCAATTATATTTTGAAATATAAAACCAGATCTGCCAGAAGGTGGTGGCAAGTAACTATCTTAAAGGGATAGTTCACCCAAAAATAAAAATTTGATGTTTATCTGCTTACCCCCAGGGCATCCAAGATTAACTTAAACCATTGCAGTCTATCAGTCTTATAATGCAAGTGGATGGGAATCACGGCTTTGAGAGTCAAAAAACATACACAAACCAAACCAAATTAAACTCTGCGGCTCGTGATGATACATTGATGTGTAAAGACACGAAACGATCGGTCTGTGCAAGAAACTGAACAGTATTTATACAGTTTTTTACCTCTGTTTTTTACCGCAATGTCTGAACTGTCCTGAGCGCGTTCGTGTCTTCTTCTTCAGCCTGCGTGTGAGGCATCTTTTTCTTCTTGCTTTATGGCGGATCACAGAATTATAAGTGCATTACCGCCACCTATCTCTCAGATGGACCATTGACACTCAATCTACAATCTCAATTGGGAGTGTCAATGGTCCATTTCAATGGTCCACCGATGGTTTTGTGTTTTTACACATCAATGTATCGTCACAAGCCGCAGGGTTTAATTTGGT